ATATATATATATCTATCTATCTATCTATCTATCTATCTATCTATCTATCTATCTATCTATCTATCTATTTGGGAGGGGGGGGGTAATGAAGAGCACTCTTTTATTGGGGAAATCTAATGAAAGAACTAATAAATACAAAACGAGGCAAAGATAACATCTAAAGAACAACGGGTGTGGACTCGTGAACCAGTATACGTGTCCGGATTCCCAACCGGCATCGCCATGTGTGCCAAAACACGTAGAGTACCTGTGTCGTTCTTCTCATCCTTGGTGAACGGCCCATCGGCGCAGTAGATCCGAGTTCGATCCCCATCCATTGTCATGCATTGCCTCACTGGAGGGAAGATGGTGAGTTCACAAAAGGCACAGCGGAGTTAGGCCAGATGCAAAGATCAGAGTTGGGAATAATATACATCAGTCAGGTTAGTGGGACGAGAAAAGGCCAGTAGAACGCTACCTTAGAATTATAAAGTTCTATTTGACATTTTTGGCTCTTTTTGAGTTACTAAAACCATGGGTTCAGAAACCAAATCTTCTACCTACTCTAACAAAATCGTACTATTATTCGGAGTCGTGACAAAGATATTCAAAGAATTGCATTCGAAATGGCTTGACATCATGTGATACTCAAAATCTTTGACGTAAAATTTCTCAAAACTAGGTACTCAGTAGATAGTACTTCGTCATTCTGAGGTAGCGAGTAAACAACAGAAAACTACATGGAGTAATAAAAAAAGACACAAAGCTTGAGAACGTTATTGGAATTTGTTTTAATTAAAATGCACAGAACTTCGAGAAAGGAAAAACCCCAAAGAGAGCAATACTTGTCCAAGCGTACGGAACAAGATGCAGTCATTGAGAGGATTCAAACACGCAAGCTGACAGCAAAACGTTCCTCCTTTACCCCATTAAAGAGTAATATTATTATTATTATTATTATTATTATTATTATTATTATTATTATTATTATTATTATTATTATTATTATTATTATTATTATTATTATTGTCGCTAGACTGTTAGCACTGTTTTTTTTATTCTCATGCCTGTCTTCGAAATAAATACTGGCTTATTTAATAAATTCAGGCAAAAACCAAAATATACCCCATTATAATCTGTAAAGTGTAAAAATCTAACTATCCAAATGTAGTGTGTATGGCGTATCCTTCGCACTTGCAGCTTGAGGAATTTAATCTAGATTGTTTTGAAACTTTCAAAGATCATTTATAAACTTCACAAAAGCAATACAATAGAAAAAGATAAGGAAAGAGAGTGAAACCTTTTCCCGATAGACTTTATGAATTCACTAATAAAACGTAAAAAGCGTGTATCATAAATACGTGTTATTGGTAGGATAAAATATGAAGATGGAGGATAGGAAATAACTATGACAGTTACCAAAATTTTCTGCTTTCGTGTGGAGAAACAAAACTATTAACAGAAATATAAAATATATATTATATAGACCAAGATAAAGTGTCAGGGATAAATAGGAAGGGAACAACTTACTGATAAATATATATATATATATATAATATTTTACATTTGATTATTTTGGGGTACAACACACAGAGAACAAACTGGGGTTCCATCGTTAGACAACACGCTACAACAAAAGAACAACAACAGAAAAGACAACAGTGAAAAAAGGATGAAATGTACCCTTTTAAGTCCATAATGCAACACGAGAGAGAGAGAGAGAGAGAGAGAGAGAGAGAGAGAGAGAGAGAGAGAGAGAGAGAGAAAGAGAGAGAGAGAGAGAGAGAGAAAGAGAGAAAGAGAGACAGACAGAGAGAGAGAGAGAAAGAGAGGGAGAGAGGGAGAGAGAGAAGGAGAGGAAGAGAGAGAGAGAAAGGGAGAGAGAGAAGGAGAGAGAGAGAGAGAGAGAGAGAGAGAGAGAGAGAGAGAGAGAGAGAGGCAGAGAGAGAGAGAGACAGAGAGAGAGAGAGAGAGAGAGAGAGAGAGAGAGAGAGAGAGAGAGAGAGA